GTGTTTGGGTCTGCTTTTATCATCAATTCACTTTACAACATCCATACTCTCATTGCATTCAAATATCATAATTTTCCATAGCTTTCTAGAGCCATTTGTGTGTGAAGGTTGAGTTGTTCTTGAGCGTACTTAGTTTACTCATAATCTACTCTACAAGAGAGTCTCGTTCTTGAGTGTACTTGTGTTCTTAGACACGTTGAGAGAAAGTATTTCTCTCGTTGATTCAAAGGAAGGTCTGTTTCCTTTGAAGGATTAATTGAGGTTCGTGTGACTCGAACTCTCAAGTTGTAACGGTTTGTTAAGCACCCGCAAGCTTAACGAGATAGTAGTGTAGCTCGAGAGAGTCTCTCGGGAGGCTGGATTAGCCACAAGTTGTGGTGAACCAGGGTAATATTCGGTGCGCCTTTTACTCTTCTCTTTACTTCTCGTTTAATTTTTAATTCCTGCGATTTCTCCGATCAAACGCTATTCACCCCCCCTCTAGCGTTGGTCTATTATTCTAACAAGAGCCACTATCATTTTGTTGGAGACAACAAGTAATGCTGCATCTTTATGGAGATTGGTGGGCCAAGTTTAAAGCGAAAGAGAGGTGACGGAGAACAATATTAAGAGAAGAAGCGTGTCTAGCCTATTGTTGGATCTATAGGATTCAAGATGTGGTTTTAAATTTGTATTTATATGTGATTTTGTTGATTTGTTCATTTTATAATTCAGTGTCCTGCTTAAACGTGATACAAAATGAATATGAACATCTCAACCTTTAATAAGAGTACATCTTAAGGTTATACTTTTTGGAAAAGACTTGAAGACTTTGGTAGCAGCACTGTGTATTATGAGATGTCTTAGCACATGAAATTTGTCATATTAAGGGAAACATAGGGTTATACGGTTGGTGACGACTTAGACTTATGTTTGTATTTTTTCTTGGATTTAATATTGAAAGGAGGTAAAAGTATCACCAAGAGGGGTAGTGAAAGGAATGTTTAGGGAATGAGTTTCGATTATTGAAGCACAGAAATTGGTTATTCAAAATGTTTGGATTCTGACTGCATCTTCCCTGAAGATGAGATGAGAGCGGCCCGCTGCTTCAACCAGAGGCGGACGAAGGGTAGGTGCGGGTAGGCATTAATTATTCGCTGACTCACCCAATTATGTTAAATACTTTGTATTTGTAAAAATTTTACCGTTTCCATTTCTATTTATTTGAAGGGGCAATCAAAGGTCAATCATTTCCCGTCGTTTTTGCTACTATTCTTTCGAAGTAGCTTACCTTAAGTTTTTTTAACTAAGACATTTGTATGGTTTTCAATTTGCTTCCCGACTCTCCCTTTTTCCAAGGGGCTTTGTTTTGGGCTTTCCCTTTTGTACTGTAATTTTTTTTACTTTCCTTTTAGTAGTATTTATAACAATCTTCATTCTTTCTTTAATCAGCTTAATATTTTTTCCCTATTATGATTCATGTTTGGGTTTCATTTTCTTATAATGTTCTATTCCCCCATGTAGCACCTTCCAATTTCCATATTCCTTCATACAAAGTTGTTTAATTAATCTTTGTATTTGTGGAAATGTGGAACATTTGTCAATGACAAAGGTGTGACATTCAATAATTGATTAATCATTACTACTGAATAAGGCTGTGCTTAGAATTCTTGTTGCACACTGTTTTGGTTTCTTTGTTGTTTGCAGGTTTGGACTAAGATTAAGATTGACATATTGGTATTTTCACTGTTCTTTATTTTTTATGCATAATGACAGGTGATTTACCAAATAGGAAATGATTCAATTTATTCGTTAGATGAGATCTTAAAAGCTTTATGTTACTCTAGGATCTTTCATACCTGGGTTTTTGAGAATACATAATGAATATTAAATATTGATTAAACATAAATGGCCACGACCGTGATTGCTTGAAAGGGGTAGAGGACTGAGGCAAGGGACCCAGTGTACCCTTGCTCTTTCTCATTGTCCTTGAATAATTTCCTACATTTTTCAGAGTACAAAAAAGTAACGGTTCTAATGATCTGTATGATGTTAATGCCCATTTACTTGCCTCAACTGTTCCTGCAGATGCTTTTCCCTCTTGAACTTCAATATTTTAATTGTTTGCTGATTGTTTCTTCCAGGATACATGGCATACAAAAGTGTCACCTGCTGCAGTTTTGGTGAAGAAACTGCATGATCTTGCAGGTTAGTTACAGAGGACTTTTTTCCACAACATATGTTGTCTCTGAACACCTGACAGTTTGATATTGTTTTACGTCAACTAACCTGCAAGTCCATAGATTAAAGCAAGAGGCACATAGATGCAAATGGCCGGTGCAGATTGTTTAAAACTGATAAACAGGAAGATGATCTTATTGGTCGGGTAGGGAGCATTGTTCACGTTTTTCCAAATATAAATGCCTATTCACATTTCATCCTACAGTGTATTTAATATTATGGTCCGGTTAACTTCCAAACGCTTTTCAGAATCCAATTCCAAGGTCATGTATGAGGTTGGTGTGTATTACCTTTATGCTGTAGAAATATACTGCAAACGGTGGGCCGGATTTCTTCTTCATTCTTCACATACCGGTAAAAATTTAGTTTGTTGTTTTACACATGCTTCTCTTCTTTTGATAACATTTTAAAAATAAAATTGTCATTTTTGAGAATTATGTCCCCGGATGAACGACAGTATGAGAAGTTAAATCCTCCCTCCCTCCCTCCGTCTGTTCCCAAATATCAATCTCTTAATGTTATTTATTTTGTCTAAATTGACCCTTCTACCCCTATTAATTCACTTGAATTTTCAGTCACCGTGGATAGTCAAACAGAGTGTCGGCCGGAAGGCATGCCTTATAGAGCTAGGGTTAGAGGTAGGTTATTTCCTAATTTATGACTAGTGCATTCCCTATTTTCTCTAATTGAGTGTGAACTGATGGGGTGAGTTAATTTTCCAAATTTGCAAGTGTCATATTTTTGAAATTGTATTTCTTCTTCTTCATCTTCAGCAACCTCTTCAATGCCAATCCTGCAACAGTAATCGGCCTATGTTCTCATCGGTTTTCGTATTTTAATTGCTTGGGAATTTGATTGTGCCGACATTTTTAGGTGCTTTCAGTGGATTGTAAAGTTGCTTGCTATGTTGCAGGAAATGGAGAGCGC